AGCTAACACAAATACATACAACAAGGTGAAACAAACCCAAACCTAAACTGATACAGATACCCAGGTACATACACATATAGAGCACAACGTAGTCAGGCAGGCCGGGTCGATAACTATCGGGCAGGTAGGTACAGGAGGAACAGGCGGAGAGAATGGTCAGGGTCACAAGCCAGGGATCAAAACAGGAGAAGTCAGCAGAGGTCAGGATCAGGCAGGGTCGGCAACAAGTCAGGCAGAGGCAGAAACAGGAATGCAGGTTACAAGGTACAGGGGCCCATGGACAAACACACACCAAGGCACAGACTGCAGGTCTGGCCATCCCTTAAATACACCTGCTATCAGCCCCAGGTGATGGCTAATTGCCGAAGTGAACCTCTGGTTGTTGAGAGCACCCGCTGGCCAGCCCTGGTACTGCAGCCCACAAGGCAGGTGAGTCCCACCACTATTGGCAAGTCCATTCCTGACAACGTGTGAGTTTATTTCATTTTATTCTGCTGGAACATCGCCAATTCTATAAAATACTACACTATTAGCATCCATTTGTCTCTGGCATGTTGCTTACAAGCCCCCCAAAGGTGGAGATCTCCCCAACTACTTGTGCTTCTGATTGGCTGATTACCTGGAGCTGTCCCTGGGAGTTAAGTGAGCAGAGTGTGACCTGTGAGTGAGCAGTACTATCCTGTGTGCCAACGGTGTGCTTGACGAACCCGCAGCCCCTGCCCAGACCCAGATGACCCTTGATGGATATATCACATACATGAGCATATTTTATGTGCTTCTGATAAGTGCATTTAACTGGCCCTCATCATTGAACTCACCAGCACGGATTACCAATCACTATTCCTTCTGGACTTTCTTTGCATTTTAATGAAGGATTCACTATTGTCACATATTTTATATATTGTTATTTCCCGTGTGCTGATACGTCACAGTAAGACGCTTTATCACGTCTTCGCGATATATGCGCCATAATAGCGCTCACTTCATGTTTATGATTATCCTTCATTTTGTATTTTATTGTACTTTATGATACTGTAGCGCTGCATATATTTATTATATCATCTCTTTTGGAGGTGTAGAGGTCTACCTTTTATGCTAGCTGCTTGGTTTTTCTGAGCTCGCAATTACCCACACTTTTTTAATAACCCAAATTAGTTTATAACCAAAAATTATCATTTAAAAAAAAATATTTGTTACATTTTTATTTAATTTTTTTATATTATTTATGTTTTTTTTTTAACATACTGTCACCCTAGCAGTACAGTGTCACCATATTGACACTGTATTACTTGTGGGGTGTGAAGATTTTTGTTTCTTTTTCTACACTGATTGCTTTTACAACCCATAAAGGCTGTAAAAGCAATCATTTCTCCTTCTCTCTGGCTGCATTCTTGCAGCCATTGGGAAATACCGTGAGAGATGTGATTGGTCACAGCTTGTCACATGGTACAAGGCTGTTGTGAATAGCCCTGTACCATGTGATCTCTGTGATCATTCACAGATTTCACATGCAGTAAGCAATGATGTCAGGAAGTGACATCTTGTTTACTACCGTTCCTGTGATCACTGATTGGCCAATCAGTGATCACATGAATAGGGACCTCACACAGAGGTCCCGTACAGAGATTGGTGTTCCGCTGTGTCCACAGTGCCGTGAATGCGGAAGCCGTTTATAAAAAGCCACCCGCTCCTGCACTGCTCTCGTCCGAGCACATGGGCCATACGGGAAGTGGTTAAGGTCAATCTAGATGTTTATAGTGAGAAATAATAATACAATGATCTAACACCGGCTGAACTGCAAGAGAAAAAAGCAAAACCAGCGCTCAGGTCTTTAAGCATCCCAGGAACTCGCTGAAGTGCGGCCCTCTAAATATTGGGGAATCTTGATAGTACTGGAAGAAAGCAAAAAAAAAAAGGCTGCATTTCTGCAGAAGGGAGTTTGTCTCCTGAAACGCGTTAGCATACGCTGTCGCAAGACCACCATTTACTGGTACTGTCTCATCGGTTCCCTGGTTGTTTACATGACTCTTGGTTTGTGAGTATACACTTTTGTCGTTTCCAATAAATCCTTTTTTATCACGGTAATGCACGACGAGAGCCAGTGCTTTCTTCCACTGGCTGAACTCCAGCAAAATCTTTCTGAATAGCTGGGGTAGAGCAAACAATGGTTAAAATCAATGTTCACTCTTAAGATCCCATTCACATCTGAGTGTTTTGTGACTCAAAGCTCCAAGATGCTCAACATCTGAAATTCTATGGTTTTCAATTGTGCCTGTTTGCACCTGAGCGAAGTGTCATTTATAGCTACAAAAAGTACGAGAGCCTCTTTTAAGCTATAACCTTCAAGCATTTGTGGTCCCAATAGACTTCAATAGGAAGGTGAGGAAACGTGTGTATCACATATTTCCCCCTAATAAATAGCTAAAAGTAATTTAAAAAAAATGCTCAAGAACAAAAAAGCCTGTAAAAAAGGCTCAAAAATGCCTGTACAAAAGGCTCAAAAATGCCTGTACAAAAGGCTCAAAAATGCCTGTACAAAAACAACCAAAGGCACTCAGCACAATTGCAAATGTCCCCATAGAGGAGATTCCACACCTCTTCATGTCCTGACAAGAGAAGTAGACGATCCCTACATACATAGTATAAGGAGCTCTACTGGGCAGGCAGAGGACTTGCGGCTGTAAACAATCTCTGGGGGCCACAGGTGTTATAGTGACATTAAAAGGCTGTTTTTTTTTTATACATTATACTTACCTGCTCTGTGCAATGATTTTGCACAGAGTGCTCCCTTACCTGGGTTTTGGCAGTCCCCTCCCAGTGCTATCCACTTCCCCCTCCTCTGGGTGCCTCCTTAGCAAGCCGGGTGCTGAGGAGGCATCCATGCGCATGCTCTTCTGAGCAGAGCTGTGTGCAGTCAAAGACTTACACAGCACCTGTAAGCCACATCCGTGCTTCAGTTTTCCTGACAGCAGAGCGAATCTATGGCTCCACTGCTCTCACCCTAGGTTCACATCTGTGCGGGTGGTGCCGCTGCGGATCCGCATGAACATCCGTGCAGCCGCACCACCCGCACAGAGAAAGACCCGCGGCGGGTGCCATTAGTTCTAATGGCACGCCACCCGCACTGGAAAGCGCAACCGTACTGGGAACCGAGGTTCCCATGTGGGCTGCGTTTTCCAAAGAAGTACAAGGACTTCTTTCCCTGCGTGTCACAGACACGGGAGCCCATTCAAATGAATGGGCTCTCGTGCCCGTGCAAAGCGTGGCCCGCACGGCCGCATAGATGTGCACGGGGGGTCAGAGTCTCCTGTGAAAGCAGGAAGTGAGAGGAGCGGTGCTGCAGCTGAGTCAGTGCTGGAGCGCTCAATGCACATATTTTCCAGCATACCACAGATCAACAAATGTCATCTGAGAAGTTTGAGGCTAGGTTCACACTCATGCTGTGCGGTACATCGCATGCGATTCGCACAGGAACTGCACCGTGTTCCTGTGCAAATCACATGCGAATTGTGCACGGTGCGATTTGAGCCATACATTATGTATGGCTCAAATTGCACTGCACCCACACCAAAAAGGTGCAGGACCCTTTTGTGGGTCGCACTAGAAACGGATCGCATGTGTATGCACACCTATGTGATCCGATTCTGCACATCACACTGCATTTTGCGGACCGATTTCGGGGTGTTGTTAACTTAACATACACACCCGCAGAGGTTTGCATGAACGGGATGTGATTCTGATGCGGCGCAGAATTCGCACAGTAAATTTCGGACCGCATCAGTGTGAACCCAGACTTAAAGCGGAGCTTCGCCCAAAAGGGGAAATTCCGCTTTAAGGACTGCTCCCACGCTCCTCATTAAGGATTGGCACCTTTGGGGGGGGGGGGCGGGGAGGAGCGAGTACCCGAATTTAACACGTACCCTCTCCCGCTGCCATCGCCTAGGCGATCGGAAACGGAAGGTGTCCTCCCTGTAGTCTTTTGGAACACGTGACAGGTCCCAGAAGACTACATGAAGTGCAGCGCTACTCACGCATGCGCAGTGGGTACCCGGCTGTGAAGCCGCAAGCTATCACAGCCGGGTGCCCACACTGAAGATGCCGGCCTCCTGGAATACAGGACGGCCGGTGAAACGGACTGCGGGGGGACACACCACGGGACCGAGGGACAGGTAAGTGGCTGTTTTTTAAAAGTCAGCAGCTACAGTTTTTGACAGGGTGAGTGGAACTCCGCTTTAATGAAGAATGACGACATCAAAAAGAATAAGGTGCAACATTTCAGAGCCACGCTGGACCCCTTTGTCAGGAGTGCTGTAGCAGTGACAGGAGTCAGGTAAGTGTTTAGGAATGGGGTAGATAGGACAAGTTGTGGGGTATTTTTGTGCAGAGAATGCAGTAAGGTAAAATAAACACACTTTACAATCACTTTAAATCTCAGTTTGCAAGAAATCTGCATATGGGAAGGGAAGGATCAATTAGCTGAGCACACGGGGGCAACAGGAATAAGTGCACTTTGCGTAAAAGTGCCATCATTCTTTAATATGCTTGCATTAAAAAATAAATATTATGTAATATAGAGCTGCATTAAGTTGTGTATTTTATATCTGCCTACATTTCAGAATTAAATGCACTTTTCCATTCCCCAAGCGTGTAAACATAAAGGTCTGTTAATCTGCTTAATCAGCTGTTTTGGAAGCACACTCCTTCTTTCCCCCAAACATGCAGCCTGAGCGGACTAAACGGCACTGGTACTGATATACAAATGTTGACTTATTAGGTGGAAGCCAGTGGAGGGATTGGCAGAGAGGGGTGGAGGACACTGAGCGGAGGTCAGTGGAGGGATTGGCAGAGAGGGGTGGAGGACACTGAGCGGAGGTCAGTGGAGGGATTGGCAGAGAGGGGTGGAGGACACTGAGTGGAGGCCAGTGGAGGGATTGGCAGAGAGGGATGGAGGACACTGAGTGGAGGCCAGTGGAGGTATTGGCAGAGAGGGTGGAGGACACTGAGTGGAGGCCAGTGGAGGGATTGGCAGAGAGGGGTGGAGGACACTGAGTGGAGGCCAGTGGAGGGATTGGCAGGGAGGGGTAGAGGACACTGAATGGAGGTCAGTGGAAGGGATTGGCAGAGAGGGATGGAGGACACTGAGTGGAGGTCAGTGGAGGGATTGGCAGAGAGGGGTGGAGGACACTGAATGGAGGCCAGTGGAGGGATTGGCAGAGAGGGATGGAGGACACTGAGTGGAGGCCAGTGGAGGGATTGGCAGAGAGGGATGGAGGACACTGAGTGGAGGCCAGTGGAGGTATTGGCAGAGAGGGTGGAGGACACTGAGTGGAGGCCAGTGGAGGGATTGGCAGAGAGGGGTGGAGGACACTGAGTGGAGGCCAGTGGAGGGACAGGGAGGGGGGGTAGAGGACACTGAATGGAGGTCAGTGGAGGGATTGGCAGAGAGGGATGGAGGACACTGAGTGGAGGCCAGTGAAGGGATTGGCAGAGAGGGGTGGAGGACACTGAGTGGAGGTCAGTGGAGGGATTGGCAGAGAGGGTGGAGGACACTGAGTGGAGGTCAGTGGAGGGATTGGCAGAGAGGGATGGAGGACACTGAGTGGAGGTCAGTGGAGGGATTGGCAGAGAGGGTGGTGGACACTGAGTGGAGGCCAGTGGAGGGATTGGTAGAGAGGGATGGAAGACATTGAGTGGAGGTCAGTGGAGGGATTGGCAGAGAGGGATGGCAGATATAGAACGGTTAGTAAGGTGGATGACTCTGGCAGCAGCATTCATGATAGACTGGAGGGGGGATAGCCTGCGATGAGGTCGGCCAATGAGGAGGGAGTTACAATAGTCAAGGCGAGAGATAACCAGGGAGTGAATAAGTTGCTTAGTAGTTTCCGAGGTTAAGAATGGGCGTACCTTGGAGATGTTGTAGTGTTAATGTCTTCCGTGGAAGTGATGTGTGTGACCTTGTAGCCACGCCCTTCTGCCCAGATCGAGTGTTCAATGCCCTGCCACCCAGAACAAGCGATTGGACATAAATCCTTGGAATGAATTGGATTTATGGATCCTTGGACATCTATCCATTCAGTCATATCCAACCCTTGGCGATTGCATGGACCGTCACTCGTAAGCGACTTTTTCCATGAATTCTCTTAGCAATTATTTTTACAGGGTAGGTTGCCAGGTCTTTCTCCAACCCCCACCATGCAGGAGATCCCACATGGCCAGGGATGAAACTAGGACAATTTAGACAGGAGCCAATTAACCTACCAGCATGTCTTTGGAGTGTGGAAGGAAAACGGAGCACCCGGAGGAAACCCACAAAAGAACAGGGAGAACATGCAAAGTCCATGCAGGAGGCACCATGGTTGGGAATCGAACCCATAACCCATTTACTGCAAGGCAGATGCGCTAACCACTAAGCCACTGTGTCGCCCGCATTTGGACATAATTGGAATAAATTGGATTTATCGATCCTTGGACATAAACATCCAGGCCATCTTCTGTTTCCGCTCATGCGTGATAGCGCTTGATAGATTTTTTTCGGGCAACTATCATACCACCGCATAGAAAATCGGTCGTTCGCATGCGACACGACAACATTTTTCACTGTTGTTCAACCGGATTTTTCGTTTACAATATCGTTATCGGTTATAACACCTGCTCATCAAGAGAAAATTGGTCGTTCATTTGATCAAGAAAAATTTTCATACGATTTTCTTAGCATGTATTCCAGGCATAATGGCTTTCCTCGCTACCTTGCAAAGATGACAAACAGCTGCTGACCCGTGGAAAGTTATCACCACCCCATCTGTGAATAGGGAATTCCTCCCCCTGCCTATCCAATACAATTTTACACAAGCTTCAAATCAGCAGTTAAGCAGTTGTGAAGGCACCATCTCCCAGTAATTACCTCTTCCGCATAGTTGTACAAACAGATAATTAATTGTAATTAATTCTACACTGAATTAAATATAACTGTCTTTTTGCTTCTAGGTCTCATTATTACCTGCAAAAGCAGAATTAAATATTTTCATGACACTTTTTCATTTATTCATATACACAAAATTGAAAAGCACAATAAACACAAGCGAAAATACAAATAAATTCAAATACATTTAACTCAAGAAGTTCACAAAGGCAGAAGGCGCTCATATTCGCTCAATCTGGTGATGTAGGAGCATCTTCTGTTTATCCCTTTGTAATATAGGACATTAATTCTCAAAAATACCCGCTGCAGACTCGTTGTCTCACTCATATAGCAAGTTCGGATTTATCAAAATGTCAATGCTAAGACGGTTCAAATCTGACAAGTGAGGCATTAATAGGATTCGAAGATGACTGCATGGTACAGATTCAGGAAGTACTCTAACCTCCAACACATCACAACACATCAGAGGAGTTCTCAGGGGTGTCCCTACGGTTTGGTGTCACCCGGTTGCGGTAACACTTGGTGTCACCCCTTCGACGATCCCCGCAGAATGGATCAGATTTGTGGATTGAGCGTAATGGATCAGAGTCCAGGGGCGGACTGACTATTTAGGCACTATTTAGGCACGAGGGCCCGGGGTCAGTAGGGGGCCCCATGAGATGCCCCTGGTACCTTTCATAGGCTTTTTTTTGGGTGTGGTTTGAGTGTGGGCGAGGACACAGGGGCCCCATGATTTCTTATTGCCAGGGGGCCCCATGAGTTGTCAGTCCGCCCCTGTGCTCTAATACAGAGTTTCTCAACCTTTTTTCAGTCAAGGCACCCTTTAAAAATCATAAACAGTCTCAAGGACTGACCATTCAGGCACGAGGGCCCGGGGTCAGTAGGGGGCCCCATGAGATGCCCCAGGTACCTTTCATAGGCTTTTTTGGGTGTGGTTAGAGTGTGGGCGAGGACACAGGGGCCCCATGATTTCTTATTGCCCGGGGGCCCCGTGAGTTGTCAGTCCGCCCCTGTCGGAGTCCGATCCATTATTCTCCCCAATCCGCAGATCCGATCCATCTTGCGGGGATCGTCGGCTTGCAACCTATACGAAGTTAACTGATCTTTCAAGACCGGTCCGGTCAGCACATGTTCGAGAAGTGATGTCAGATGGAGGAGGTTCCTGCTATCGCGGCCACATTTCATGGTTACAGACAAGTCCCGGATCTTGCACTGCCTTACCTAGATCAGTTAACCCCACATAGGTTGCAAGCCGACGATCCCCGCAAGATTATTATTATTATACAAGATTTATATGTGCCAACAGTTTGCTCAGAGCTTTACAAAGACAATACAGCAACAATACAGTTCAATACAAGAGGGATAGGAGGCCCTGACCCTGGGAGCTTACAATCTATAACATGGATCGGATCTGGGGAGCATAATGATCGTACTCCGATCCATAATGCTCAATCTGCAGATCCGATCCATCTTGCGTTGATCGTCAGCTTGCTTTAAAACTTACCTTTTTCGTGGAGCTCGTGGAGAGGGTTAGGTGTCACCCGGTGCGGCGCGCACCCCCCGCACCCGCCTAGGGACGCCACTGGGAGTTCAATAGAACCTGGCTGCAGTGCATTACATAAAACAGTTTCAGTAAAACGCTGTGGATTTCCTGAACTTGATAACTGGATAGCATGATCAGTTAACTGACTGGTTTCACAAAGAGTATAGTTTCTAAAGAAGGGCTGCTGAAAGATAATTAGTTACAACTTTCAATGACTTTCCTTTTGTTTAGAAGCAATCAGAAACAGCATGCATCCGTCATTACAATTCATATAGACCAGAAGTTACAGTGGGGCAAAAAAGTATTTATTCCGCCACCAATTGTGCAAGTTCTCCCACTTACAAAGATGAGAGAGGCCTGTAATTGGCATCATAGGGAGACCTCAACTATGAGAGACAAAATGAGAAAACAAATCCAGACAATCACATTGGCTGATCTGGAAAGAATTTATTTGCAAATTATGGTGGAAAATAAGTATTTGGTCACCTACAAACAAGCAAGATTTCTGGCTCTCACAGACCTGTACCTTCTTTAAGAGGCTCCTCTGTCCTGCACTCATTACCTGTATCAATGGCACCTGTTTGAACTTGTTTCGCAGTATAAAAGACACCTGTCCACAACCTCAAACAGTCACACTCCAAACTCCACTATGGTGAAGACTAAAGAGCTGTCGAAGGACACCAGAAACACAATTGTAGACCTCCGCCAGGCTGGGAAGACTGAATCTGCAATAGGCAAGCAGCTTGGTGTGAACAAGTCAACTGTGGAGCAATAATTAGAAAATGGAAGACATACAAGACCACTGATAATCTCCCTCGATCTGGGGCTCCACGCAAGATCTCACCCCGTGGGGTCAAAATGATCACAAGAACGGTGAGCAAAAATCCCAGGACCACACGGGGGGACCTAGTGAATGACCTGCAGAGAGCTGGGACCAACGTAACAAAGGCTACCATCAGTAACACACTACTCCGCCAGAGACTCAGATCCTGCAGTGCCAGACGTGTCCCCCTGCTTAAGCCAGTACATGTCCGGGCCAGGCTGAAGTTTGCTAGAGAGCATTTGGATGATCCAGAAGAGGATTGGGAGAATGTCATATGGTCAGATGAAACCAAAATAGAACTGTTTGGAAGAAACACAACTCATCGTGTTTGGAGGAGAATGCTGAGTTGCATCCAAAGAACACCATACCTACTGTGAAGCATGGGGGTGGCAACATCATGCTTTGGGGCTGTTTCACCGCAAAGGGACCAGGACGACAGATCCATTTACAGGACAGAATGAATGGGGCCATGTATCGTGAGATTTTGAGTGCAAACCTCCTTCCATCAGCAAGGGCATTGAAGATGAAACGTGGCTGGGTCTTCCAACATGACAATGATCCCAAACATACCGCCCGGGCAACGAAGGAGTGGCTTCGTAAGAAGCATTTCAAGGTCCTGGAGTGGCCTAGCCAGTCTCCAGATCTCAACCCCATAGAAAACTTTTGGAGGGAGTTGAAAGTCCGTGTTGCCCAGCGACAGCCCCAAAACATCACTGCTCTAGAGGAGATCTGCATGGAGGATGGGCCAACATACCAGCAACAGTGTGTGCCAACCTTGTGAAGACTTACAGGAAACGTTTGACCTCTGTCATTGCCAACAAAGGATATATAACAAAGTATTGAGATGAACTTTTCATATTGACCAAATACTTATTTTCCACCATAATTTGCAAATAAATTCTTTCCAGATCAGCCAATGTGATTGTCTGGATTTGTTTTCTCATTTTGTCTCTCATAGTTGAGGTCTCCCTATGATGCCAATTACAGGCCTCTCTCATCTTTGTAAGTGGGAGAACTTGCACAATTGGTGGTGACTAAATACTTTTTTTGCCCCACTGTATGTAGTCTATTTATTTTATTATTTATTTATTTTCAGGTACTTATATAGCGCCATCAATTTACGCAGCGCTTTACATATATATTGCACATTTACATCAGTCCCCAACCCTCAAGGTGCGTACAATCTAGGGTCCCTAACTTACATTCATACATACACATACATACTAGGGACAATTCTACAGAACAAAAGGGGGATGTAAATAGGACAGCCCACTGGGAAACTGCTGTGCGATGCTGGCTGTGGCACATCCAGAAGTTTTAATGAAGTCATAAGTTTTCAAGGGCTGCTTATAGTCCCTACATGGAGCTCCCATGCAGAATAGTGACGGGAATCAGGATACACTTAGCTAGCCCAGCTAAGTAAAGCTTGTGCTTTAATTACTTCACAATGCCTACAATTACTGAGGTGAGGGCTTGTTTTAAAG